GATCGGGGCATAAGTTGAGAAGGCTGTCGAATGATATCGCACTGAATGCAGAGGCCATCCATCACTCGAATGGAATCTCAATGGGAGGAGAAGAATGCTGGTTCATCAGTGCTGGGATGACATGGAGATCTTTTGAGTTGGAGGAGGAGGAGGAGATGAGGGAATGTTGGCAATCGTGGGCCCATCTGTAGACAACGATGACAGAAAATAGAAGAAAGCGAAGATGTGTTCCTGAAGCCCTTTGTTCCCCTCGGAACCCAAGTAAGGAGTAATAATGATAATTATAACAGAAATAGACAGGATTTAGAAAAATTGTAATTGGATTGTCACTATTGTGAAAATCGACGATTTACCATGACCATGGTAGAGACAAAAACTGAACTCTTTTATTTTGAATACATAACACTGGCTTGAATTCTTGGAATGCTGCTGATGCTTCACAGATATGCTCAGATGTCTTTTTCTCATTCCTTTTGTGAGGTTTGGTCAGATCCTTCTTGTAATTGTCCTAACGAATTTCCTGTCTAGTTGATTCGCGAGCCTACTGTCCTAATCACTGCTGGCTACGACAACAACAACACGATACGATACCACCGAAAACGCAACAGAGGAAGAGAAAACTGACCGTTGATGTGGACAACTGTTACTGTCTTGTATGAACAGAGAGAATGACCGACAACGGTTGCGTATATGTGCGCTTTAAAATGACCATGAGATGCACTAATGACATGGATCAATTAAAATAGTGCTTTACCTACTTGGGGTGCATCGTTTCAACTACACGCGGACGGAGGTGATGGAAATATCAACACCTCAAGTCTGTGTTGAGGTCAACAGCACTCAGCATGAAAAATAAGATCCTGATTTTCAACTCTAATATGAAGTCACTGCTACTATATACGGATCAGAGACTTGGCCAGCGCGTCACGAAGGGCATTTTGGACAAACTACAGACCTTCATCAACACCTGTTTTCGTTCAAGATCAGATGGCCGAACAGAACCGATGATCAGTAACACGGATCTGTGGGAACGAACGAGTCAACCCAGCAGGAAACAGTTGTGCAACAGATATGCAGGAAGAAATGGAGGTGAATTGGATTAGCCATACTCTGAGAAAACAAACCGTCAAGTGAGTGATATCACACGCCAGGCTCTCTCTCTCTCTTGAGTGGTACGCGAATGGAAAGCGGTGAGTTGGTCGTCAGTGCGAGAGTGACATGGGTGAGGTTGTGCTAAGAGGAGATGAAAGCATGTGGGCAGACGTGGAGTCAGGTGAAAACGTTGGCAGAGAACCGAACGCAATGGAGGCGTGTGGTTGAAGCCCTATATTTTTCTAGCAACTAAAGGAGACAGCATAGAGAAGTGCTAGAACCCGTTGCTGCAGCAAGTGGAATCGATGTGAGCTATCGAAATTATTCACTGAAGTGTTAATAATCTACACTTTAGTCACCCACTGAGACGACAACCACCAGCGTAATGAGGGAGGGAGGGAGTGAGTTGCTATCATGATGTCACCAGCAACAACCAAAACTCTTATGCAATGGGAACCAATCAATCTCTTGATGCAGGATAATGAAAGCGAAATTCAACTCAAAAAGAATCGAAATTACAATTATCCAATAGTACTTCCTACACGTCAAGAGAAGAAGAAGGAAGATTTCTACAGACAACTGCATATAATTGTAACAACAGAAGACAGGGGCCAGGCAACAGATCGTTTATTAAGGAAAATGTTATGTATGTATATTATGACCTTGTAGACTACAAGCGAATCTAACTTAATGCGCTGGCTAATCTGTCCTAATCGCACGTCAACAACAACAACAATACCGCCGGGCACGCAAGACAAAGAAAGAAGACTGGATGTTGATACGAGAGCTTTTACTGTCTCTACAACAGTCGAAATGTTAAACAAAACTCCGTATTTATACAGCTAAGAAAATCAATGTCACATTTAAAAATATTAACAAACAATGGGAATTCAGTAATTAAATGCAGGTGCAAAAAAATCAATATTGATGAGTCACCTGTGTATATATCAGAAAGCTAACACATATTTATAGATTTTAATGTACATTATTGTAGGTTAATGTTAGTAGAAAATACAGTCTTTTGATTGGTTGTTTCTCACAGAAAGTTAACCTTGCATCTCTTTGTGGCTGTGTCAGATCATCCATATGCTAACTGTATCCGCCTACGCAAACAAAGTCTCCTCTGATTGGTTGTTGATTCAGTCAGTCTTTGTTCTTGTTCTTATTACTCATGACCAATATTTGGGACGTAAACATTGACGGAAATTACTGTCTACCAGTTTTTGGATAGCAGACAGCTCTCACCACAATATGACGGAAGTATGACTTCGAAATCCAGTGTCGATTAACCGCTGCTTCCGAATAAGTGGTTATTCACTCACCCTGCTTAGTAATGATCTTCAGGTAAAGTTACAACCGTAGTAGAAAATACCAGTCAAGGCTATACGGTTAATGTAACAGATAGTGACACTACAGCCTTATTTATTTTATTATTATTATTGTGAGGACAGAAGGCAAGAGTCAGGCAACAGATCGTTTATTAAGGAAAATCAACACGTATTTATAGATTTTAATGTACATTCATCATTGTAGATTATTGTTAGTAGAAAATACAGTCTTTTGATTGGTTGTTTCTCACAGAAAGTTAACCTTGCATCTCTTTGTGGCTGTGTCAGATCATCCATATGCTAACTGTATCCGCCTACGCAAAGCCTTTGTTCTCTCTCATCTTTTCACCACCAATATTGGGGACATAAACATTGACGTCAGTTGCTGTCTACCAACCAACTTTGGCTAGCAGCCAGCTCTCACCACATAATAATAATGGATAAGATCCCGATGACTGACATGAAAATCCTAAGTTGTTGAAGTCCTTCCTTTTTTACTTAAAATCTCATGACTTATAGTCTCATATAAGAACACTCTAAAGTTTTGAGAAGGCAACATATTAAAGCAATGAAGTGTTTGCATCAGTACAACATGACATAGCTCAAAATCGCTGTCAATGGCGCAGATGTATTCAGTCTCTTGTGTAATCTTTCATATTCCTTTCTAGCATTACTCATTCTGTTTCACTTTTGTCATAATTGTGCAAACTCTTGATTCTCTTCACTCATTTTCTTGTCTACCTTGTATGTGCGATTTGGAACGTGGCAACTCGAAGTGCTGCACTTTCGGTGCCAAATTCTATGTTGAATCCATCATCAGTACACCAGTTGATTGCTTCATTTTACATACTTATCATTGTCGAATTTAATTTGTTTAATCCTCATATACTTTTCGTATCCTCCTTACCATGAAGACAGACGGTGACACAGTGGTTCGGACTCTCGCCGACCATGCACATGGTCCAGGGTTCGATCCCCTGCCGACGCACACCTGATATCTATGGTCGGCCTGCAAAATTTGGGCTACCGATATCCATGCTGAAAATTCCACACTTGTACTGAAAATACGGTGTGGCATCAAGCTATAATCAAAAATAAAAAAATAAATAATATCTACAAAGGAAATTATTTAGAAAGGAAACCTGGACGGTTCAGTACACCCATTTCCATAGCTTCGCACCGATTCAGTACAAAAAAAAACTTTGTTAAGTGTCATAGCTATAGAATAAAACGTATGTGTTCACAGTAATGCATTAAGGAAGAAATGCATGAACTGAAACTCACACTGCAAGAAAATGGATATCCACAGAGCTCCCTAAAAAAGTATATGTCAATACCTACAGACAAGGTAAAGGTGGATACCGTACACGAGAAACTTTTGTATCATAAGTTAAGTTACAAAGGGGAAATTGCAGCTGACATTCTAAAATGTCGACTTAATAGAGCAGTAGACAGAACATTTCCTGCAGCTAAACTGGTACTCAACTTCTCAACTAAACCAGTACTCACACAGCAAGTAAAGGACAAATTACCAAAGATGGCCTCATCAATGTGTATCTATGAATTCTACTGCTCATGTAGATCTAGTTACATTGGCCGTACTCAGAGGGCTTTATCCATGTGCGCGCGTGAACATGTACCTGTATAGTTGAGTTAAGGGGTAACCAAATGTGTAAATAGTGCAGTCTTAGTCCAATTGGTAGATACGGGACACCCGATAAAACTTGACCAGGCGTTCTCAGTTATTTACCGCGTTCCTAGTAATTTATCTAGAGGAGCTCGACTACATCTTCTATCAGTAGCTGAAACGGTGGCAATTAATACCAGAAGACCATCTCTTTGCATACAGAAGAAGTATGTTCAACCACTATGTTTACCTTGGCCTACAATAAAGCCAACAAATCCTCCATTAACACTATAAATTCCTTTCACAATTTTCTTTTCTTCTTCTTCTATTCCTCTGTTTCATTGACAAACGTTCATTTTCGACTTTTATGATTTCATGACCTTTCTTATGATTTTATTACCTTAGGTTTAAGTAATGCTTTTCTAACTTGTTATCGTATTTACAAAATCCTGTTCATTCCACTTCATTATATTCATCATTATTATTTTACAATCATTCTTATTGTCGTTATTTTCAACCTTGAACTTATGTCTAGTCCACCCCATTCGTTGGTTTATTTTCATATTGTCTCACACACCCTGATTACACTCACTCTCGAAACCTGTATTTTTCTGTTGACTATATTTATATATATACACACATCATTAAATTAAATTACTTCATCTCATTTTGTCCCATGTTCTCATTGACCATGCATATTAAATAAAACTAACTGACTATTGTTCCATCCCATCTTATACTTGTTCCACAATACACTTTCTCATATGATTCTAATTTGCCTTTACTGGCTATTGTATGAATTTATAATTGTAGAGCAGCCTGAAGAAGGAAGAATTTATTGAAACCAGAATTGTTCTCTCTATATACTTTTTTGTTCTGAATATATTTTCCCAATATTGTTGTTATTTTTGAACGGTTTTTTTCTCTCTCTCTCTTCCTCTCTCTCTCAAAAGGGTGTTTTCACTGTCGCCTTAACTCGTTGGAATCTACTCAGGTCAGATGGTGTTGATAAATCCAACTGCCTGTTGCCTGTCTGTGCACCATCAGCATTCTACCATTGGTTAATGAATTTCAGTCAACTGTTCAATTATAGCCCGATTGTTGATCTCTGTGTTATCTCCAGCATTTATACTCCGCCGAAACCGAATTCCTCCCCATCATGGACATTGAATACTACTACTGCTGGTGAGAAAACAGATAGATGGTTACAGCTGTTAAAACAGATGAATATTCATGTGAGTGGAGATTTCACTTTGTACTTGTATTATTATTATTATTATTATTATTATTATTAATGTTCCTTTGGGTTAATATACGTGTAAAACTTGAGCACTGTGGTGGTGGTAGTAAGTAATTCCATATTAGTTTGTTTATTAGATGTATTGACAGTACGCGCACCCACTGCACCGGGGTTCGAACCCAGGACTTTCCGGTTACGAGACAAGCTCGTATACCATTCAGCCATTCATTTGGACCCGATTCAATGGCGAGCCAGCCCATGAATTCTAACTTCTGCCAATTCATGAGCCATTGGATCGGGTTCCAATGAATGGCTGAATGTTATACGAGCTCGCCTTGCAACTAGAACGTGAAGGTCTTGGGTTCGAATCCCAGTGCAGTGGGTGCGAACTGCCGATTACACCTAAACTAGGATGATGAAACAGCTGTTGTCAAGTATTGCAAGTTTTCCCAATGGTCCTCTAACCAACCGATGTCAACTCATGATGAAATCCTCCAACCAATCAAACAAAATCCCTACAAAACCAATATTTGAAAATAAGTTTGTTGTTGTAAACAGTCCCTTTGCTGGAAATATTCTGCCTTTAAAAATGCTGATGTCAGTTTAAAAGGTGTTATTGTTTAAGTGAAATCTGCACAAGAGAATAAAAAATTAAACCGACTGAATATAAAAAGAATAAGTCAGAAAACGATCACTGTGATTAGTGTAGGCGGCATGTCTGTAAGTTTTGAGAACAGTCTCGAATTCCCTGCCAGCTATTCAGCTGAACATAATGATGCTAGAGATGTTTCCTTTCGAATTTAGTGACGAATTAGATATTGCGAGGTTTGGGTCCTGAGAATGATGTGGTCAACAAGCTTAACCACTTCACTGTCTATCCATCAACTAGCAGTCGATTCCCACCGTTCCTGAATACCGAGATTTCCGTTGAAGGTGCTGACAAGATTTTGAACCTAGAAGGACTGTGTGTGTCATTTTGAGTTGGTGAGACTTTTCCCCAGTAATGACAAGTCAATCAGGACTACATCCATTAGTATATCTGTGATGAAATGAAATCAACATAGGGACAAAAGGCAACTCTGATGGATGCCACTGGTTTTCACTAGTTTATATGGTAGTTTTTCATGAGCTGTTTTGAACTCGAGGAGTTGAGTACGAGCACTCTAATCAACGGCCAGACATTGATCGAATGTATTCTAAAATAATCAAAATTTATTTCTTCTTCCTCTTCAATGATGATATGAACATCTGGATTATATCACATTATTATTATTTCCTTTAATTCCTAGAGGAACATAGGGCTTCAGTCGTGCGTCACCATTGCGTTCGGTTCTCTGCTAAAGTCTTCACCTGGCTCCAATTCTGCCCACACGTTTTCATCTCCTCTTCACATGACCTCCTCCAAGTCACCCACCCTCGCACTGACGACCAACTCGCCGCTTCCCTTTCGGTTGGGTTCCACTCGAGCAATGGCTTGTCTAGTGATGTCACTTGATGGTTTGTTTCCTCAGAGTATGGCCAGACAATCCATCTCCATTTCTTCCTGCCTATTTGTTTCACAATCGGTTCCTGCTGTGTTGGTTCGCTCATTGCCAGAGATCCCATCCTGTTGCTGATCTTTTCTGGCCGGCCGGCCATCTGATCTTGAGTATTGAGCGAAGACAACTGTTAATGAAGGTCTGTAGTTTGTTTGAGATGCTCTTCATGACGCGCTGGCCAAGTCTCTGGTCCGTATAGTGAGTAGCACTGACTGACTTCACATTGGAGTTGAAAATCCCGATCTTATTTTTGATGCTGAGTAGTGCTGTTGACCTCCACACAGACTTGAGAGTAGTGAAAGCTTGTCTTGCTTTTCCGATTCTTGCTTTGATATCCTCGTCAGTTCCATCCGCCTGTAGTTGAAACGATGCTTCCCAGGTAGGTAAAAGAGGTTGTTTCTTTCAGGTTGCTTCCATTTATGCTGATCGTTGTCTGTTATTGTTCTTGTCCAGGAATCTTCATCACATCTGTTTTCTCTGTGTCCACCTGAAGTCCTTTCTTTGATGCTTCTTGTGCCAACTTGTTGCTTTTCATTTGCATATCTTCCAGTTTGTGGGAAATCAGACATATATCATCGGCGAAGTTCAGATCCTGCAAGTTTTTTGTGTGAGTCCTTTTTATGCCTGTTTCACCATTGCCCACTGTTTGTCGCATTATCCAGTCTACTGCAATCAGGAAAATCATTCGCAATAGTAGGCAGCCTTGTCTTACTCCTGTCCTCACTTCGGAGTATTCCGTAAGTTTCCCGTTGTGGATTACTTGGCATGCAGCATTGTCGTACAGCTGTTCGATGAGATGTATAATTGTCGGTGGCACCCCTTGTTAGTAGCGAAGTAGTTGCCAAAGCACCTGTTGTGTTGTAAAAGTTTCGTGCTTTATTTAAGCTCTGAGAATTTCACTAACACACATAGGTTGGCGTCGTCCAATTTTCATGAATAATGAGTGTATTTTCTTTTTGTTGCTTTGAATAATTTTGATACCATTGTCAATCTTCAATTCTTCTTCTTCTTCTTTCTATTTTAGATTAGACCTGTGAAAGTTCCGCATACACGTTCATCATGGGCTTATATTATTGATAGTCCGTGTCTTTCATCCATAGATTCAATCGATAATGAGTCAACTATTCAAAACCAGTGCAAGGAGAGAAAATGGTCAATTGTTTATTCTGGAGATACACCTTCATGTCCTGAACTTGCCGAAGCTGGGAGAAATTGTGACTTACTGATACATGAGGCTACAATGGTCGATGAACATGCTGATTTAGCTATCAGAGCTAGGCACAGGTAAAAAAAACAGTGGTGCTATGATGTTTTGAGCTATTTAAACTGTGTACATACTACAGTGATATCTATAGTTTATTTATTATCTTTTTTCTGTCACAATGAAGTTTTCATTTCTTAGCAGTTGCATGCTTAGCCGTAGCCTCCCTCGACCGACGGGTGATTGATGGATGAAGTTGGAAAAGAGTTAGCTAGTGGTGGTGGTTGTGTTGAAACGGAAACATGGCTTCACCATCAGTCAATGAAATCCACAACGGTTAGTTTAAGCCTGGCAGCCAGCCAGTTACGTGGGGACGTGTGGACTGCCTGTTTGACGTCCCCGGGATGGTAAACACCAATGAAGGCTGGAGCAATAATGGCAATAATAATAGTAATAATAATTTGCTTCATATTAAAACATTCCTAATGGGATTTTCAGCGTTTGGTAGAATACTGCATCTAATTTTATCGAATAGCATTTAAAAAATTATATTACAGGGTTCATTGTTAATGGCAGGTCTTATTTTGGTATTTGTAGTGACTGTGACGTCATATGTATATACAAAGAAAAAAACTGTATTATTATTATTATTGTTCCCTTGTGTTCCTAGTGGAACATACGGCTTCAACTGCACGCCTCCACTTGCTTCTGTCTTCTGCTGTACTTTTCACCTGCATCCATGTTAGTCCATACTGTTTCAGTTCCTCATCACACGATCTCCTCCATGTCACCCTTGGACGTCGCACTACTCGCCGCTTCCCTTTCGAGTTCCACTCGAGCTATGGCCTGACGCGCGATGCCACCCAGCGGCCTCCTCAGCGAGTGTCCTATCCATCTCCACTTTCTCCTGCATATTTGTTGGGTGATTGGTTCTTGTTTTGTTTGTTTGTTTGTTCCCATAGTTTCTTGTTGGTGATTCTTGTTCTTTCCGGCCATCTGATCTTCAGTATGATGCTAGCGAAGACAGTTGTTGTTGATAAAGGTCTGCAACAGGCTGTTGGAAATATTCTTTGTGACCCGCCGCCAAGTTTCTGATCCGTATAGAAGAACTGACTGACTTGACGTTTGTATTGAAAATCCGAATTTTGTTGTTGAGTGTTGGTGAGTGACCAAGATTTCCAGATTGGTTTCAGGTTGATGAATGTGTTTCTCGCCTTCCCGATTCTCGATTTGACATCTTCGTCCGTTCCTCCTGTGTAGTTGAGACAATGCTCCCTAGCTGGATAAGTGAATGAAGTAACCTCTTTCAAATCCTTCCCGTTGATGGTGATTGGCGCTGGTGGATGTTGCTGCTGCTGTTGTTGTTGGTTTGTTATTTTCGTAACCTCCGTCTTGTCTATGTTCACCTGGAGTCCTGTGTTTGCTGCTTCTTCGACCAGTTTGTCGATGTATCTCCAGAACCTCGCCTAGATTACTAGCTCACTAGTTTTCTAGCCGGTACCAAGCCAGGATAAAGAGGGATTGTTGGGGCGTGGTGCTAGCAACTCCACCCCCAAAACTTAACCAAACTGCTGCAAAAACTTCAACGCACAAATATATTAAAAATTCTGAAAATACAAAGACAAAAACTGTAGATAATAATAATAGTAATGTGCGTAGCTAAGATTTTCAGTTAATTGAGGAGATAGTGACACTATAGATTACAAATTGGAGATTGCAAATAGAAGAGCCGATTATTTTGCTAACTTCATAGTAATTCATTGGTTTCACGCTGCACATTGTCTCTATCGCATAGAACATAGGCTGGCCATATATAGTATCACTGACTTGCTATGCTTGGTTGTACGAGCATATAATCTTCAAGTGCTGACTTCTAGTTCTACCAGATGAGTTGCAAGTGATACAAGGAGGGGAGAGTTGAGTCGAGATATACGCATAATAATAATAATAATAATAATAAAACGGAATAAAGACACTACTCTTCCCTTGAAACAACTCAAAAATACTTCCGAATTACAACGAAAGGCATCATTTTTCAAGTTTCATAGCTATCAAAATATTTTAACTGTGGGCACAATGAAATTAGGTTGGGATGAGACTTGCACCTCAATTCGTCCACAGCATTGTTACAATAATAGGCAGGTTGTGTATTCAATGGCTGGCATGCGTTCAAGGCTATTGGTGCGTTCGCAATCCATGAATATTATTACTGGTCAGAATTTCTAGCTGACAGTAAGCCTGTAACGCACACTGATTTCTCATACAGCTAATTTGATAAAGGTTAATATCTATGTGTCTTTCATACATTCTGAGTGTGAATTCCACCCACTTAAGTCAATAAATTTAGCAATCACAGTTCATCTACTTGTAAGTAGTCAGAAAACTTGATGGAAATAGTGTTGTCGATGTTTGGTTATGGATTTCTGAGTATTTAGTGCTCGTTAATTTAGATCATTCTAGATGTCTGTCAACCAGTGTAGTAACAAGCCTACTGACTAAGTTGCACACCATTTCCTCTACTGACAACCTTGAATACCCTTCTTCTCAAAATGATATATTCCTTTATGAGCTGCCGAGGAAAGAAAAGAAAGACTAAGATGACGCAAGCGGTACAATAGGTAAGATACAATAGTTAGCAAATTGTAAGATCAATTCAATTCCAACCCTTGAATCAAGTCAACCTGTCCCGGATCAGCCTAGCGTTGTTGCAACCCAATTATCCATGCCTTACGTGCCTATCCCCCCTTGTTTAATGAACTGTGTGTATGTTTTCACTTCGATCTGTTTAGTCAGACCGTTGAACTCATGACGCAATCAGAATATTTTGTGAACTGTTATTTTTGCTGACCCATGTCTTACTTTGTACTATTCTGTCGAGTTTATCTTATTTATTGATCTTCATCTGTATCAGCCTACCTGGTTAAGCAGCCAATTTAATTCTCTCTTTGTGCCTATGCTCTGTCTATGTCTTACTTGGGTTCATTCTTCTACTGACTGCTTACCTGAACGGTCGTGTCTGATTCCGGCTAGTTCGCAATTTTGGCTTTAACGTTATTCTGCTCTGATAGCGGTACCTTGCTTTCTGTTAAGCGTTGTGCTTTGTACTCTTGAAACGGTTAAGGTTTGTTGTATATATATAATTGTTGATTTGTTTATTAATAGTACCGTAGAAACAGTGACCGGCTTGTTGTTTGTTCTGGACTGGGATAGCCTTTATCTACGCGTGACTTAATTTCAAGCGATATTGCGCTTACTCAGAGGTTGAGTGATTCCAGATTGTTTCCGCTTCTTAATGTATCGTAGTTTAGACGGAACATTTTCTTGGAGATGAACTAAATATAGGATGACGAATTAGCGTCAGAGGATAGAAGGCATACCAAGGTATTTTGTGTTAGACTTAGTTTCTGTGACAGTCCCCTTTATGCTGCAAGCATCATGTGTACTAACCAGTCGTTAGCTTAGAACACTGACTGATGTCCGACAAAGTGCAATCAAGTTTGTAACAGTCTTATTGGGACTTAACAGGAAGCAAGACGGTTGGATCGTCCGTCAGTGTATTTGAAAAAGTTGATTTCATTCAGAGCCTGCCGCATAGCCTGAAATACGAAAGGCTCATCTCAGGAGCTGATAGTAATAATAATAATATGCTTTATTCCAAAAAGGGTACTTGTGATACAGAATGGAATTCTCAGCATTTTTACTACAGTATTGCATCCAGTTAGTACATTATCAATAAATAGAATTCTATCTCAATGTATACTGAGTTTCGTGTATTAGTACACTGTCTGAATCTATCTAACAATGAAAGCATTGTAGAGAAGTTTGCGAGACGGATGATGGATATGTTATAATTTCCTTTTTGACCCAAGTCTCAGTGATTTCCAGGTAGGTGCACCATCTAGCCTAACCAATTTTCTGCCAGCATCTTTTTTTTCTTGAAGGTAGTGACGAAACTGTAGTCAGGCAATCGACTGGAATGTTTGAGAAAGTATGTGAAAGTGAGAATGTTCTCTGAATGTTGTGTAGTGAAGACAGTTATCATCGTGCTAATGTTTAAAAATCACGTGCTTGTGAACTGCATGTGAAAATCATCTTGTAACAACAACAGAAGACAAGGACCATGCAACAGATCGGTGGCACAGTGGTTAGGACTCTCGCGACCATGCACATGGTCCTGGGTCCGATCCCCTGCCGACGCACACCTGATATCTATGGTCAGCCTGCAAAATTTGGGCTACCGATATCACATGCTGAAAATTCCATACTTGTACTGAAAATACGGTGGGGCATCAAGCTGCAGTCAAAAATAAAATAAAATAAAATGTACATTATTATAGATTATTGTTAGGAGAAAAACACAGTTTTCTGATTGGTTGTTTCTCACTGAAAGTTAATCTTTCATCTGTTTGTGGCTGTTTCTGGAATGTCAAATCATCTATATGCAAACTGTATCCGCCTACGCAAAGTCTGCTGTGGTCGGTTTTGAATCAATCTTTGTTCATAATTTCTCACGACAAATCTTGAGAACGTAAACATTGACGTAAATTACTGTCCACCAATTTTTGGATAGCATCCAGCTCTCACCATAATCTCAGTATTAGTTGTCAACCAAGGGTGGGGTTAATCACTAATTGCTGCTGATTCTCCTTTGCATTGTCATCCATGTTATTTTCAAGACAACCCTGAAAGATGTGTATGCCGGTGGTGAAGATCTTTGGTCTGAAGTAGAGTTTTGTTTGAACGTGAGTATGCAGATGACATCGTCTCACTGTCCGACAGCATACAGATTGTTTGAATCCTAGTTAACTAGTCAAGAAGTGTCTTTAGGTGTGATATGTACTTTTCTCTAGCTGACTGCGAAGCATTACAGCAAGTTTGTCAGAAGTCTGTACCTGCATTCCTCTTTGTAAAGAGTAGTCAGCCTCTAGAAGGAGCATTCTGTAATTTCGTGTATTCAGTTAGTTTTTATTTCCTGATTTCTTTAGCAAGTGTGTTAGATGAGATCTGTAATCGTATATAGTAATATACATTAACCTGGACGGACCACCTACGACGCCACTGTGACATCAGTGTTTTTTTCCCTTCACGTTCTCCAGTGGAACATAGGGCTCCAAGCTACAAGCTTGAAGTTTCTGTAGCAGTGTTTATTTTACAGGATGGGGTTGCGAGCCTCATGCCCAACCTTTTCCTCTTCACCAGCATTATTTCTGGCTCAGCGAGGTAAAGGAGTGCGTCTGTGGCCGGGGATCGAACCCCGGACCATGTGTATGGTCGGCAAGCGTCCTGACCACTATGCCACAGACTCGTGACATCAGTATAGCCCTATCTTACTGTTAGCTTAATGGTGTTTGTTAGCCTCGCGACTGAGCGGGGGGGGGTAGTTGTGTTCAGTCAAGATCTCTTGATGCCTCGTTAAAAAACTAACTGCCATTTTGTTGGGATACAACAAAAGTACTGAATCGATGCCTTACTGACGACACGTTGTCAGATATGATGATTAAGAATCCAGATGCACTTCCTCAAATGAAACTCTCTCCTTTTCAGCATTTTTGAGCTTTTCATCTTTGCCGTTGTTTTTTTTTGTTGAAACATTTCTCTTTCTTTTTCACTAAAGTACAACAAGTGGAGCTATTCAAACTGGACGTAATATGAATGCTGCATTTATATTGTTGAATCATTTCAGTCAACGTTATGGACGTCTTCCACCAATCGATGAGTTTAGCCCAGATGTGGCTGCTTCATTCGATTTCATGCGTGTAAGTTTATCCCCATCGAACTATTTCTTTTTCTCACTCCCATTCTCACCCCCACTAAGTATATCATATTACTATTATTATTATTATTCCGTTGGGTTCTGAGTGGAACACAAGGCTTCAACAACACACCTGCACTTCATTCTATTTCCTGTTGTCCTATTCATCTGCGTCCACGATTGCCATAATCTGTCATCTCCTCCTCCTCCTCCCTTCAACTCACACGATCTCCTCTCAATGTCGCAATAGCACCGACGACCCACTCGTTGCCTTCATTTTGGGATTCTACCGGAGCGATGGCCTGCATTGCGCGCGATGTCATTCGACGACCTCTTTCTTCGGAGTATGACCGATCAGTCCATCTCCATTTCCTCCTATATATTTGTTGAGCGATCATCGGTTCTTGGTTGGTTCGCTCATTGGAAGCCAGAGTTTCTTGTTGTTAATGGTTTCCGGCTGGCTAGCTGGCTGGCTGGCCATATGATCTTCAATATTGAGCCAGCCAGCCATCGAAGGTGACACCTGTTGGTTGATAGACGTCTGCGACTGGCTTTTCCAAATCCTTTTCGTGATGCACGTTTTTGTAATGCACGTTTTTGACCCGTACAGAAGAACTGACTGGCGGCTTCACATTACTGTTACAAATCCGTATCGTGATGTTTATATGCTGAGGTGGAGTGAAGCAAAAGATTCGCAAACTGGTTTCAGGTTGATGAAGGCGTATTTCGCCTCCCCCCCCCTGATTCTGTCTGGCTAGCTGGCTAGCTGTCTTTGACATATTGATTGATCCGTTCCGACTGCCTGTGATTGAAACGATGCTGGCTGCGTAGACTAGATAAGTGAAGGCAGGAAGCAGCCTCTGTCAAACCTTTCCCGTTGATGGTGACTGGTGCTGGTTGTAAATGTTGTTGCTTCTGCTGCTGCTGGTGGTGATAGTGGTTGGTTATCTTCATCATCTGCTGCTACAGGACTGGACTACGTCAACTCCTAGCTTAGTAGTGATAGGGAGTGAAGTGATAGAACATGTTGACCACTTCACCTATTTGGGAAGTTGTATCAGCACCAACGGATTGATTGGCGACGAAATCTCAGCACGGACCCACAAAGCTCGAGCTGCTTTCGCTAACTTACACCATCTCTGGCGTAGGCGTGACATCCGGCTATCAACCAACCAAGGGACGTGTGTACTGCTCAGCAGTTCGCTCCGTCCTCTATGGCTCTCTGAAACATGTCCAATACGAGTTGAAGACATGAAGAGATTGTCTGTTTTTGATCATAGATGTCTACGATCTCTTTCTCACGTTAGGTGGTATAATAAGGCAAGTAATGTTGTCGTTAGGTTAGGCGTAGAGTGTTGTGTAAAGAGGGAAAATCAATCTACGAGGCTATAAAGTTACATAGATTGAGATGGCTAGGTGACGTGCTGCGCATGCCTAACCATCGCCTCCCCTCCCGACGGGCATTACTATGTGATATAGGTGCAGGTTGGAAAAGAGTAAGTGGTGTCATGCCAAACAAAAACATGGCCTCATCAATCTATGAAATCCTTGACAGTTAAACTGAATCAGGTAGGGAGATGCAGACTTTCGAGTTGGGGCCTTCGGGACTCTAAGAATCAATAACTGGAGACAATAGGTGAAATGGCTCAAAATTGTTGTCAATGACGCAGATGTATTCAGTCTCTTGTGTAATCTTTCATATTCCTTTCTACCATTACTCATTCTATTTCACTCTTATACTTGTCAAAACTCTATTGATTCCCTTCACTCATCCATCTTCTTGTCTACCTTTGTGTGCTCTTTGGAACGTGGCAACTGGAACTGCTGCACTTCGGTGCCAAGTTCTATGTTGAATCCAGACATCTTCATCATCTCCGTCTTCTCCATGCTCTTACCTCTTCTAGCAACTCTTTGGTTATTCAGGTATAAAACTTGGGCACTGTGGTGGCAGAGTATTACTCCATTATGGATGAGATTTTATTTTGATAAACTGTCACACAGTGCTGCACAGTATTCTTAACTGATGACCACGTTTCTAGCACAATGTATTATTGCCACTCATAATCATATCAGATCTTTGGTTTTTCACCTGTAAGTTGTCGATTGTATTTGACATTAGACGTAAATCATCCATGAAGTCCTCGTATCGGTTCAAAGAGTTACTCCTCTTTTTTTTCGGCGATATGATTTTCAAGCAGCACAATCACACATACACATGTGTAGTAAATTGCCTCAACAACAGAAGGAATATTTCCAAGGATGTGTTATTCGAATTGCAAATTTCAGGCAACAAATTTCGTCAATCGGTTAGAAAGTAAGATAAGATTTTCAATACAAACGTCAAGTCAGTTTTGCTATACGGATCAGAAACTTGGCGGGTCACCAAGAACATTTCCAAAAAGTTGCAGACCTTTATCAACAGCTGTCTCCGTTCTATACTGAAGATCAGATGGCCGGAAAGAACGAAAACCAACAAGAAACTATGGGAACAAACAAACAAACAAAACAAGAACCAATCACCCAACAAATATGCAGGAGAAAGTGGAGATGGATAGGACACTCGCTGAGGAGGCCGCTGGGTGGCATCGCGCGTCAGGCCATAGCTCGAGTGGAACTCGAAAGGGAAGCGGCGAGTAGTGCGACGTCCAAGGGTGACATGGAGGAGATCGTGTGATGAGGAACTGAAACAGTATGGACTAACATGGATGCAGGTGAAAAGTACAGCAGAAGACAGAAGCAAGTGGAGGCGTGCAGTTGAAGCCGTATGTTCCACTAGGAACACAAGGGAACAATAATAAATAATGAGTTGAGTGACATAATCTAATTGACGTGGTTGAGTAGAGCTCAGCTAAAGTTAAAGTTGAACAAGAGTCAAATGAATGGTGGTTGCAGTAAGGGGTAGAGATTTGATAAGGTGTGTGTGGGCGGGGGGGAGAAAATATTATACAATTAGGAAGCAAAAAGACGAAACACAAATTATGCATTTCGTGTTAAGATAGGTCAGCTGCACCGTAGATTTAATGACGTAACAAACTTCTTCTTTTGTATGCAGAGTTCATGATTTAACATGTGAGGAATATTGCTATTGCTTCTGCGGAGTTTGAAGAACACTTTGATTCACTACTTTTTTAGAGTACTCCGTAGATGACTTTGAAGTTCCTTTGTGCCTGGGTGTGTTTTGTGTCCAGATTCGATTAAGTGTTCCAGGATAGAGCTTCGGCGAGACCTATTTTCTCCTTTTTATAAAACTATGACTGTGGGTAAATGTCCGATGATATGTTCGGATAGCCAACTCTGAGTACGGTCGACATTTATATAGCTCCGCAGGTGGAGCAGGTGAATCGGTAGATGCACATTGATAAGGTTGGCCAACAGTGGTAGTTTATCTTTCAAGTTTATGCAAATCATTGGTTTCGTTGAGAAGGTTAGTTAGTCGGAGTTCAGCCGCGAAGGTTTTCTTCAGCGAGAGGGACAATAATTGGCTTCTCAGTATTTCTGTTGATAAGTCTCCATTAAATTTTAGATTCAGGTACCGAAGTTTTTTTGCAGGTAGAAATTGTGGGCGGCTGTAGTTTCATAGATTTTAGGATGAAACGTTCTGGATTGCCATTTTCGAGGAGGATTCTCTTCAGAGTGTTTTCCAGCTTCTCTTCCATTTTATCAGGGCTGCAACTACTGCGGATTCTGTGACTCAGGGAACAGATCCGGTTTCCTTATGTATTTAGGCGCTGACTGTCCCTTGTTGGCTTTCTGTCTTACTGCTGTATTCACTTCAAATGCCTCACTGAGTTTCCCTATTTTGGGTCGTTTATTGAGAAAATCAAGAGATATTTATATATTTTTATGTACATTATTATTCTCTATTTTTGGAAGAGAAGATAGCGTCTTCTGATTGGTTGTTTTCTCGCTGTAAGTTATCCTGTCAAACCATATATCAGCGAATCGTATTTGCACACGCTAGGTCTGCTGTGATTGGTTGTCGAGTTCCTCAAGGTTAGGCTTTGTTATTGTTTCACCTCGTGACCGCGATTCTGGATGTAAACATTGACGTAAATTGTTGTCTACAATTTTGGCTAGCAGACAGCTCTCAACACACTCGTGTCCCCCTGTGAAAGACTTTCGCCTGGAGTTGGTTGGGTCTTCTTGGATCTGGTGGCTTTTTCGTTTATCTTACTGTCGGGAATTCCGGCGCTCGCTGACATTCACCTGTTTCTCTTTGTTTGCATTTGCGATCGTGTCTATCTACGTGACCCCGTCTCAAAGTGACCATGTATGATCCTTCCCAGTTTGGATGCTATTTGCCTGACCCTGGTGCTCATTCGTCGGTGTTTCGCCTCACATTTTCATATGCTGCCTTAGCTGGACCTCCCAGCAGCGTTCCAAGTAACACCCGCATCCCTGACGGATCTTGAACGCCACTCAACTAAGCAACAGCCTCGAAGTCTTGCCCTTAGATACATATGTCTCCATCAAAAACTGCAGGGCATAGGCTTTCCATTTGTCCTGCAGGCAGCGACACCAAATGTAATGATAGATCTGACAAGGGTGACGCAACAGATCGTTTATTGACAAGATCAACAGATGTTTATAGATTTTTGTATGTTCCTGTTTTCTCTCATGACCTCGATTCGGGACGTATCCTTGACGTAAATTTTTGCTTGCAATTTTTGCTAACAGGCAGCTCCCACCACACTTGGTAGTGAGACCTTTTCAAAGTTGATCAAACTGAAGTGGATATTTGTCTGCCATTCTATACGACGTGATACAGTCGATTTGTTTTTCTGTTCATCTAATGCTTGCATAATCATTAATCGTTAGTACTGTCCGTCTGTATTCGACATAGAACTCTTCATCGATGTGCGGCATTTCAAGTCACCACACTCCCTCTTTGCAGCACACAAAGCAAGAGAAGAAATTAGTAGAAATGCATAATAGACAGATACAGTAAACAGAGGTGTGAGACAAAGGTATAGTAATAACGAAGAACAATATAGTTTCATTGGAAATCATAAGTCACAAGGAGTGGATGCATCTGCGTTAGCCAGCCATTGAGAACGATTTTGAGCCATATCACCAATTGTTTCCAGCCTTCATTGATTTTTACCGTCTCGAGGACCCCAACCAACCAGGAACTCTACACCTTCCTATATAGCTGGCTTAAAATAACTGTTTTGGATTTCATTTACTGACAAGGCCATGTTTTGGTTTGACGGCCGCTAGCTGTTTTCCAGCCTGACCAATCCTACGTCAGCTAACATTGCCCCGCCCGTTGTCGAGGAAGGCGATGGCTAGGCATGCATACGTAACACATGTCCTAACCATCTCAGTCGATGTAATTTCACAGCCATGTCGATTAATTTTCCCTCCTTACCTAGCAGTCAACCGATGCCTAACCTCAATATTGCTCACCTAATTATACCACTTCGCACGGGAGATTGAACGCAGGCACCCAATACAAAAGTAATTCTCTGTAGATAATTAAGTCAATTGGTCTAGCACATTTTCAACTGACAGTCGTCAGACTGGAAATGAAAAAGTCAACTCGATATTGGTAGTTGTTTGTCAGTGTTGCTTCATTCTTCGAAGAGAGATTTCATCAGTATCACCAGTCGCAGTTCATCTATACCCACAAGATTTACTCTGAACCCAGTCTTTTTGTTGAAATAACCCTTTCTCAGATATCTAGATCGCAGAGATCCTAGACTGCCTATCGCGTGCTGGTTTCAGAAGACTAAGCCCAATACGCGTGTTGTCGGTGGCATAGCGGTTAGGACGCTCGCCGACCGGGGTTCGATTCCCGGCCGACGCACCCCTTTACCTCGCTAAACCAGAAATAATGCTGGTGAAGAGGAAAGGTTGGGCATGAGGCTGGCTAGCAACCCCATCATCCTGTAAAAATAAACAACACTGCTACAGAAACTTCAAGCCTCCAACTTGGAGCCCTATGTTCCACTGGAAACGTGAAGGAAAAAAAGAACTGTAGGAAACGGTTGGGTAACACACCGATAACAAAGCAGATCTACAACAGTTAATCAGTGCCAAACAGTCTATTAGATAAAACGTTAATATAATGTACAGCAATACTTTTGGTCGTATTTCTCTCTCTTATCTCCAGCCAATATTATGGAGACTAGTTCGAACAAACAAACTAACTAACAGACGATTGATTCAGTGTTGAATTCCCGCCTTCTATCCCTTTTTTCTGTGCATAATAATCTCCACTTTTTGAAATTCATTTCTTCTTTCTTTATGTGTGTGTTTTGTTTCTCATAGGTGAAATTTTGCGATTTACCCCGTCTTGCCTACTACATCCCATATTATCAGTACGCATTTGCTAAACACTGGGCTCAGAGTAAATCGAAAGCAGATGCTTATACATGTCGTAAACTTCGTGAAGCTGATGAATTACTTGGAAAAAATCCTCCACCTACTACTGATATCAGTAGTAATAACAATAACCATATTAATAATAATCCTACTGTAAATGACGATCAACTCCTCGTGATGAGCGTACATCGATGATCAGAAAGGCTGTGGGTGCTGAAAGTGAACCTCACCACATTTATTTCGTCATTTTTTTCTACGTAATCAGCATTTCTCATAAAACAATAGAGTAATTTATTTAATACTTTTTCTCACTCTGTGTGTGTGTGGTTGTTCTGTCACTCCAGTTGTGTTTGTGAAGGGAAACACCGTCAATGGGGAAATCAAGTTCTTTTTAAAAATTAGTTTTCATATATATATACATAAAAATGTATTTTTCATATTCAGTCTTTTGAATAAAGCAAGAACAACAGTGGTGGACGCTTGTGCAGATTAAGAAGATGGTACCATTAGCATTCATTATGTATTTCGTTGACTTCTAATCAGCTCAGCTTCGCACAGACATTATTAAGTTTTCCTCCGAACCCAAATCGTTTTGTGTTTAATTTTTCAGGTGTAGTGGATCTACAGGTTTTATCGCTTGGCCCTAAATTTTGTGATAGCCATGTAAAAATTAACAAAATGGATGCACAAATTCAGTTCGAAAGTCTCTACACTCAAACGGAAGGCCTAACACCCTCATCAACTGAAGATGTTGAAAGATTTAAATCAGCACTGGTCGACTGTTGCTATTATTACATGAACAGTAAACGCAATTCAGATAGTATCTTAACCAAAAAACATAGGGAAGCCCTGGTTGTTCTCCGCAAAAATGACAACATAATAATAACAAGACCGGATAAGTGTTCAGGAGTGGTTATCTTGAACAAAGCGGATTACTTTGAGAAGATGAATACTATTCTTAATGATAATTAAAAATTCCAAAAAATCTCCTTTTCTCTGGATCCGATTGAAAAGAAAGACAAACAGTTAGCGGAAACACTGAAAAGACTGAAACAACAACAAGGCTTCATCTCACAGAGTCAGTACACATCACTTAAACCCACCGGAACGTTCACATCAACACTATATGGCTTGCCTAAAGTGCACAAAAATGGTGTACCGCTACGACCAGTATTAGATATGCTAAATTCACCATACCATCCGGTAGCCAAATTGTTAGCTGAACTCTTACAGCCGCTTCATACTGAGTTGGTGAAACATAGTGTAAAGGATACTTTTGGATTCGTTGAAACGACAAGAGATTGAAATGTTGATAATAAATTCATGATATCATTTGACGTATCTTCTTTATTCACCAGTGTACCTCTCATGGAAACAGTGGACTTTATATGTGAAGAACTCAAAAGATGAAACATTGAGGTTGGCATTCCTATATCTTTCATGAAAGAACTCTTGAAATGTACAATCAATGTCCACTTTTTATTTAATAAGGAACTGTATAGACAAATCGACGGTGTGGCAATGGGGTCACCACTAGGACCCATTCTAGCCGACATTTTCCTTGCGAAACTAGAAAATGGGCCTTTGAAAGATGTTATTAATGAACTCGAATTTTATTGTCGATACATAGATGATACTTTTTTGATTATGAAAGACGAAAAGGAAGCAAAGGACATCCTGGATAAATTTGATGAGGTACATTTCCTGCAATAAATTTTACTATTGAGAAAGAAAAAAGACTAGTATTTCATTTTTAGACGTCGGTCGTTATGGCCAGAAAAGAGGACGGCACAATAAGAAGAAGTGTTTATAGGAAACCTACATCAACGGGCCAGTACACACATTTTCTCAGCTTTGTGCCCTTGAAATACAAATGTAATCTAATAAAGTGCTTGGTCCACAGAGCAAGAGAGATTTGCTCGGATGAATATCTTGACGAGGAACTTAACAATATTAAACGGTTGCTAAGTGAGAATGGTTATCCCGAAACGTTTATTGATAAGAATCTGAATCTGAAACCAAAACAGCCCAAGTTACCAAGAGTTCCAAAAAAGGCCTTGTTCTTACAGATGCAGTTCCTTGGAGACAACACCAGTGAGATACTAACACAGTTGTGCCTTAGAAATGCAGTAAAAAGAGCATTCCCTGCTGCTCAATTACGCTGTATCTTTAAAACCACTCCTCTCCTGCGTTCGGGAATAAAAGAGAAACTGCCTAATTTTGCCTCTTCCATGTGTATCATCTAACAGTTTAACTGCTCCTGTCTAGCGAGCCAGTTACTTACTTCCATAGGCCGTACAATTACGCGTGTTTCTCGTCGAATTTCCGAACATCACACTGCATAGTGAGTGGTTAAGCGAAGGACAAACAAAATCTATTCGCAGTGCTGTTCTACCTCACTCATCTTGTGGATACAGAACACAAGACTGATTGATGTTAACCACGTTTTCAGGGTCATTTACCGCATACCTACGAACCTCAATTTCGCTTTAAGTGTTCGACTGCTAAATATTCCTAAGGCTGGCTGTTGGGATCCAGAATAACAAGCCTAATTTGTGCATCCAAAAGAAGTTGGTTGGTTCAGACATTATCCTTACCCCTTGGCTAACCAGGTTTGAATGATCCTGAATTTTAGTTGATATTCTATTTGCTACTATATCTTTATTATAATTATTATTTAAGCATCTTTAATGAACTGTGGTGATTCCATTGTGATCTTACTTTGCAAATCTACATTGTTTAAAAAGCACACTAATATTGTTATTGACTACTAATCTAGAATATTCTATGTATATAAACATGCATATATAAGTGTAGAGCCGGAAGAGGAATTTATCGAAAAGAATATTCTTTGCTCGATTATTTTGTGTTTTATAGAAACAATTTCAACATACTTGCGTACAGAGATTTCATTTATAAACAACAACAAAAATCAATAAATGCATAATAATAATAAACACTTTATCCCAAACAACAATAATAATCACACACAGAGTGGAATTTATTGTGGTGTCACGTAATCGAATCATCAAATGAAACAGAGGATGAAAATATCTAGTTACTATTACCAGGCAGCAGAACAAGGGAAGACTGTTGATAACTGCTTCTCTCTGAACACATAAATCGGGTTTCAGACGTTTGAGAAGAATTGAATTTCTGTGCGTATTGATAATTTTAAAATGATTTCGCGATTTCCACCTCATGACTCCGTATCAAGGAGATGCCTAGCGATAGCACTGTTGAAAGCATTTGTTCCCTTGAGACGTAGGCCTGTTTGGTACATGTTCAGAAAGTCGGAGGTGTGCCCTTCTTGTTTCTGTTCTCTCAATGTAACTGCTCCCGTAGATACATGTAAATTTGCAGTTGGAGTTGTTAACATGAGAGAGGTGGGTATTTGTCGACTTTTGACTGCAACCAAGAACATGTTGTCCGATAGACGGGAACCAACTTAGCTAGCTGCAGGATAGGCTCTAGCTAATGACATATTCAATCTCCTATTGATTATTCCTACAATGTGATCACCTTTAAAATCGAGTTGAATGAAGACAGGCATTTTCCCCACTGTGATTTGTTTGACATTCTTCGAGCCTTCAGATCTTCCATATTAGTTAAGGAATCTCTGAGTGTGATCGTAGGTTTTCAGCGTCTTTTCGAGGAACATGAATTCCACCTCTAATTCATCTGCAGAGCATATTCTCCTAGATCTGTACTCCCTATTTGGATGGAAACTACTAAAATGAAAGTATTGTCCATTCCATGTAGGCGGCTTTCGATAGATTGACCTGTAGAGACTACTATTGTTCTAGGCGTTGCGTGGGCAATGTCGAGGAAATGTAACTTTCCATCATTTTCATGTTCCATAGAAAATTCACTATTTATATGTGCGTCGTTGAATAATGCGAGTAGGTAGGAAGCATGATTTTCATTGTTGCCTCCAAAGCCTCAGGATGGTCGTGGGTGGGTGCCTTGCTCTGCGGGTTGGCCACCCCTCCGCACACCTGTTGAAATGCTCCCATATGACCGGGCGTCTTACATAGCCTCTCCTGAGGAAGTCCTACTCACTGCCTTCACGTGGTGCAGGTGTTTTTCACCAAAGTGACAGGGCGAAAGCGGATGCCCGGCGCTCTTCACCGGGTTCACTGTCCATTGGATGACAGTCTAGGGGAGATGGCTAAACCCTGATTCCAAGCCTCCAACGACTGGCGTATGAAGCTCACTGGAGCTCACCGGCAAACGTATGGACAAAGGGCTTGTTGGATGTCTGGCCCCATTCAAAAAGGCGTATGAACCGAACTCCGGTCACCGGCTGCCAATGGATAGTCGACTCCCTACTCCACTCCTACTGCCTTGTAGGTCACACTTGGTTGTGTAAAGGCTAGAGCTGCACTCTCAAACAAAAGGCCGAGCGATTCTGGGGACATCACTCGTACCAAATTCCCATGAAACTTCGTAAACTCTCTTCATCAGATCGCTGCGCCTGGGCAGCGATGATTCGAGATGTTCATGAAGCCGGCTCATCCTCCCGTAGGAGATAGACGAAGCAAAGTAAAAAAAAGTAAACACTGCGAATATGTCATCTACATATCGACAAAAAGAAGTTGTTTCGTCGATCGCATGCTTCAAGTTTGTTGTATCAAGGTGTTGGATATGAAGGCAGTTATCTGCTGAAACAGGGTTGAGTGGACTGCCCATAGCTACACCATCTATTTGGCGGTAAATAGTGTTGTCAAACTGGAATAGTACACCCATGGCACACATTAGCAGTAGGCGTTTGAATTGTGACTCTGGGAGTGGGAGAAGATCAGACTACTACTGACAAATGATCTTAATGGTTTCAGAGAAGTTTATTGTATGATATTTTCCCTTTGTACAATATCTTCAAGTAAAATATTAACTGACAGGTATCCACTGTGATACAATGGGCTCTGAGCTGAAGCGCAACTCATTCCAGTATGATATTTCTGCTTCGTCTCCACGAAATCTAGTTGAAAGCCAATTCAGAGAAGTTCAGCAGTACATATTGAAAACTAAGGACATAACTGAACAGCAGTTATCTCATCCATTGGGGCATGTTGCCACTCTCTATCAGGCGTTTTATCAAGCTTATTGGGAACTTGCGAATCAGTAGCTTTTGGATGCAGAGGTCCGGTTTCAGATCCCGAATAGCTAATGCTTCAGCTATGTACAGATGGCGTATCCGAAGTCCCTTTGTACGATATTGAAGGACTCTATGTAACACTGTGAAGCATTCATGTGGGGTTGCTCGATGTCCAGAGATGACAAGGTGTTCGAGGATCGAGCTGTTGCTATTCTTCTTTTCTCCTCTGGCTAACCAAGCTGGGCAGTGTTCCAGAATACGTTTGTGGACTTGACGTTGCGTACGGTCAACATACTTTGCTCCACACGAGCAAGTAAATTGATAAATACACATTGAAGT